AACCATTACCAGTACATACATAACCCTAAACCTAACCATTACCAGTATATACCTAACCCTAAACCTAACCATTACCAATACATATATAACCCTAAACCTACCCATCCTCTATTCACACCTTAGTCCTAAACCTAACCCCTAACCCACCAATGGCACTTCATCTTATGGATCCTGGGCTTTGGGCCACATAAGGAGCCCTTAGTCCTCACAATGTAGTATGTGTGGGAAAAATGGGCCTTACAAGATAACAAAATACACCCCCCCCCCCCTCCACCCACACACACACACAAAGAGTTAAGGTAGTGGCTGAAGCAGGCAGACATCTGAGGAACAATAAGATTAATAATAATAATAAACATGATCCAGAGGAGGATAAATTAGGCAAATTATAAGTTCCTTCTTGATCATTTCTTAAGCATAAGCAAACATTGAAAAGTGGAAAAAGTTCAGCACCATGGGGAAATGGAAACAATTTTCACACTGTTCTGTGAGTTCCATAAACTGTAGGAGTTTGAGATTTAGCTGATGCCTTATTGATCTTTTGTAGCCAGAAGGAAGAAAAAAAATGAATGTGAAGTTAAAAGTTTTATTTGATGAATTGAACTTATTTTTCAGGAGCCATTTTCACTGAGCTATAGGATCAACACATTAAGACAGTTCAACCAGGGTCATCGGTATGAATGTTTTGGATTTTAGGCTTATTTAACTGCATATTGTTTTCATGCCTGACTTTAAAAAATATTTTCTTTATGGACGCTTGTGATGGAGCAGATGTATGAACAGATATGGACTTTGTCCACAATTATAAGGGTGTCGTTACAGTCTGTTGTGGTAAAGAAGGAGCTGAGCTGAGAGGCACAGCTCTTGATTTGCAAGTCTATCTACAATCCAACACTTCCAACAAAAGAATGGAAGATTAGAGATTAGAGCCATTTCTAGGTGCTTTGAGAATTTGATTAAGATGCCCAAACCTCCTATCTATGTGCCTCCCTCTGAAAGATGTCCCTCTGGAGGAGAACCCCGGAAAGACCAAGAACTTTATTTATTGTAGACTGGAAACACCCAGAGATCCCCCAGGGGAAGCTGGCCTCCTGCCTCCACGACCTGATGCCAGATAAACGTCAGTCAATGAATCTACTAATGAATCCCATCAACGTCAATGGATTTACTGTTGTGATAGGTACTAAAGAAATAAAACTAAATCAAATTGAGTTCATGAGAATGATAAGGGATGAATTTACCTTTCACAGTGGTAGCAAAATGAGTCAATCTATCCTGTTGTTACTTTATGCAACACAGATTGTTTCACTGACAAATTAAACCACTCATGTGAAAGTGACAGGATGGAAAAGTATTTAATATAGGATATGTGAAACTGCAATGAACATTTTTAGAAGAATTACTCTGCATAACCCTGCTTTTAAATAAAGAAATGAACTATTCCTTCAACAGATATTGTTAGAATAAAAAAAAAATCTTCTTTACTTTTTGATTCATTTTAAGCTTTATATATATATATATATATATATATATATATATGTATCTCTCTCTCTAGATACTAAAATAAACTACTACTATTCCTACTTCGCAGTTTTTCACTTATCATGGGTCTTCAGGGTACGGATCCCCCGCAATGAATGAGGTACTACTGTATTTAAATTCCTCAGGAACTGGATACATCAGGGTCCAGCTTGTTCTTTTAGAAGCCAACATACAAGGCACCTGGCTGTGTTGCTTTGATGTTTGTTTGGCTAAAGCCAGCAACCAGTAAGTTAGCTTTAGTGTAGCATAAATACAGCAAACAGGGAAAACATATTTGTTGTTTTAAAATGTGAGAAAATTAAATATGAATACTGTGAGGCCAGGAGCTGTGACTCCGCTAAATGGAGGGACCCCTTGGCACATGGTCCCATCCATCCGTTGCTTAAGTGAGTCTCATCTCTGACCAAAAGTTCCAGCAAGACTTAGAAGAGCCTAAGACTTGTGAAGACTCCAACTGAGTTCCAGGACTGAATTCCAGGACTGCACTTCAGGACCGAACTCCAGGACCTAACTGAATAGTTCCACGAAGTGTTCCTTTTAAAGGGGTATACACCTCCTGTTACGTGGTACTTCCTGATTGGTTGAAACAACCAGCAGGGGGGTGGTTCTAGTGATATCAAGAGGGTCACTAGAAGTCAAGAGACAGCAGGAATGTTTACGAACGGTTAGTACAGACAGAGAAATATTATGACGAAGTGAGACAAACGCAGGTGCCAGTTGAAGTTATTTACTGTCTGCTAGTTTTAAAAACAAGACACTTCGTTCTAATAACTCGTCCCTGACTTTCGACCGACATCACTACTCCTCATTCAGACAGAAGACTAAATGCACACTTACTTCGTAAATAGGCATTTAACTGTATTATCAAAGTCTAATGAGGTTTAAAAATCATTAATACTGTTTCACAGTTGATTTAAATGAGTGGTTCACTTCAACATTTAGAAATGGTATGAACTAAACACACTTTTTGATTATCAAGATATTGTAAAATAGTAATGATAATATAAAAAAGAAGAGGGTTCTTTCAATTGATTAATTCAGGATACAATTAAATAGTCTCTTGATGAGATAATTTGTATTTCTGGATTCAAATCAATGAAATAGCAGTTCCTGTCCCCTGAAGGTCTTCAGAGACAGGTTGAGGTCGGAGGTCTAGTTCACTACATCTGTTACATAGCTGTATTTGCTTAGTAGTGATGCCTGTGTATTAGAAGAACAGCAGTGAGAGGCCAATTTCTAAAGCACTGTCAACAAATAAACTTTGTTCTCTTGTTCCAGCCATGAGTCACACCAGTGCAAGGCAAGATCCTTTTTGCATTAGGCTTTGCCAGTTTTTATGCCATAAAATACACAACAACTATAAAAAAACAACTCCAAGACATTTTTAGCATGCTTTTGAATTTTAACTACTAAGAGGATCGTAGCCTCAATAACTGAAGTAGTATAAGAAACTTAAAATAGTTGGTCAAGCTCCATGGGAGAGGCAGTCACTAGCTGATATACAATCTTTTTGTGTTGATTGAAAGATCTGTGGGATCAAGATCAAAGTGGAAACTACACTGTAATCAGCTTAGTTTGGATGAGCTTCATGTGATTGAGGATATAGTGTGATTGAAAATATGTTACCATGGAAATTCTATTAAGGTTCAATCTCTCCTGCACTTTGGTTTGATGCTGGTTAAAGTGAGACCAGGTAATCATTAAGATCAAAGAATCTGAACAGAGAAAAAGGACAGAGGAGTATTTCAAAGAAAGATAAGTAAAAAGTGTCCATGCTGGTCAGAACAACAACATAATCCCTTCCCAGCTGTGTACCTGTAGTGTACTAAAATTAAATTGTGAATTATCAGTTGGGGACAAAATGAGGTGCACTGTGCAAAAACAAAACAAAACAAACAAAAAAAAAATAATAATTGTAATGCTTTTTGTACATGCCCACAGGAGAATACAGCTTTCTGCCCAAACAAAATACGTTATCTCCCTAATGAAGATAGATTGGTTAATTTAGTCTAAAAAGAGGGCCAGTATGTGTACAGCACTGGTGCATCTGTACATACTTGTTCTCGCTGTGTGTGGGTGCAATGTCTGTGAGTACGAAGCCTACACGCATGAACTGCTGTAAAGATAAATTTCCTTTAAGGATTTCAGGGACCACTGAGTGCAGTGACTCAAAGTGTACACATTAGAAAAGCCCCATGAATCTAGGCATTGCACCAAATATCATATTTCATCATCACATTTTTTTTGCTAATGTGGACAAAAAAAAAGCAAGTGGGTGTCAGAAATGAGAATGAGCTCATGAAGGAAGGCAGAGACAAGGAGGGCACAGATTTTTATACATATTTCTTTCGAACGAAAAACTAGACAGTGACAATATTTTCATGCTGATGATAACCACGTTTATGGTTTACCTATGTCTAATTTAATATGTTATTACATACATTATCTATGAATCGGTGCCATATTATGATAGAGGAGGTTGTATGCCTGAATAATCCAGGAAGCAATGCTGTCAGGGGCCTCCGGCAGAATCTCTCGAGGCAGACTGGTTCTAGGTGACAGGCAAAACAAAGTGCAATTCACAACATATGGACAGGAAAAAACAAGGAGCTTAATCCAACATTTTTCAGTCAGGTCATCTGGGCAGTTTCTTTTTTTGTGCTGAAATGTTTCGCCTTCGATCCAGAAGGCTTCATCAGTCAAGGAAACACAACAAAACTGACTCTTCCTCCAACAGCTTACTCCAAAGTGGAACAAACCAGTTATGTTGGTGCTAAGATGGTCTCTTTGTCACGCCCCCTCCTCCATTGCCAGCCCTCTTCCTTGTTGACAGTCGTGTCAAACTGGTTGAAAACAACAAAGTCCATTTTCAATAATCCAGGTATACAATACAACATTTTTCAGTCAGGTCATCTGGACAGTTTCTTCCAGATCAAAGGTGAAACGTTTCAGCACAAAAAAAGAAACTTGTCCAGATGAACTGACTGAAAAATGTTGGATTGTATACCTGGATTATTGAGCATGGACTTTGTTGTCAAGGAGCTTAATGTTCTTCACCCAGATACTGTACATGTTACTGGGGTACCACCTTCAAGCTAGGCCTGGGGGAGGGGTTTTCAGCAAGTGCCTTGTGAC